TGTGGCTCAAGTGGTAGAGCGCTAACCTTGAGCTGAAGAGCTGAGGGACAGCACCCAGGCCCAGAGTTCAGGCCCCACGACCGGACCCAAAAAAAAAAAAAGACTGGTAGTAATGACTAATGAGTATGGTTTAAAAAGTATGGTTACGTTAGGTAGCTATTGGGTTAGCATAGTTATCAGGTCGTTACTATGGTTTCCAGAAATAATCCTTATCAGTTACAGATGTGGGTAGTTATGGGGTAGCTGTAGGCAGGTGTAGTGGGTGGTTCCATAGGCAGTTAGAATTGTGAGGGGCAGCTCTTGGAGGCCGTTAGCATGATGGTGGCAGTTAGCATAGTTCCCTAGTACACAGCAGCAGCTGTGGAGGTTATGAAGCCACTCTCACACCTCTGGTGGGTGTCTTGTGCCCCCACCTTCAGGTACTTACACCCTCCTCGTTGAGGGGGTGCTGAGGGAGTGCATCCAAGACCTTTTCTTACTCTTGCCGTTCTTCATAGGGCATCTTCCACTTCCAGCTGGGCCGGGGTGAGCCCATGCTGCACACCCGACTTCGGCCTCACTGCCGGGACTTCTTGGAGAAGATCGCCAAGCTATATGAGCTGCATGTCTTCACTTTTGGCAGCCGGCTCTATGCACACACCATCGCAGGTCAGGCACCAAGGATATGTGAACTGCAGTTAGTGTGTGGACAGTGAGTCGTGTGTCCTGTCGTTAAGGCGTTTTTTGAAAACTAGAAATCGTACGGAAGCTCAATCTTGAGGTTGGTAGTTGACAGGGGACCAGTGGTGACTGCCACAACTTTGTGGACTGGTTTGGAAGTTTTGGAACCACGGATATGTGGAAGGTAGAAACTTCATATGAACATACTCCTTTTTTAAATCACTCACCCCTGGTTCCAAATGGCTTTGGAGCTCTGCCTCATTGTGCTTGTGCCCTGTGACTCAGCCTCTGTCCTCTTGGCGTGGATACCAGCCTCAGCTAGCTGTCCATGTGCTCCTGGGGATGCCTGGGCCAGCCGCAGTGCCCACCAGGTGGCAGTACTGACAAGGACAGGACAGAACGTGGTGAATGAGACATCCGGTTATAGAGGTTCTTTGCCACTTCATTTTTAAGTTAAAAATACCATGAAAAGGTATAAAAAATTGGGAAAATATCCCTTACTGTCACTGTGTCCACATGGTGGGAAGAGGCAGGGGAAACAGGAAGATACTAGGGAGTAAAAAAATACCAAAGTGCATTACATGTGTGTGAGTATACATGTGCATGTATGTATATACACATATATGTATATGTGTGTCACAGATAGGAAACAAGAATAATGAAACCTATTATTTACTGTTTGAGAAGGGGGTGTTAGAAGAATGTAATAGAGAAGATAAATTTGTTCAAAATACATAATTTACATTTGTGAAATTATCACAGTACACTCCTTATACTATCAGTGTATGATGTAATCGCACTGACTTCCTGAGTATCCCCCATGGTGTGTGAGAAGGTGTAGTAGCACCCTGTGTCTTCACTTTCCCTTCCATTGAGAGGTGCTTTATTGACGTGAGATTTCAGTTTCCTGTGGGTAATACTAAAAATCAACAATTCATCGGTTTGATGTGTGTGTGTGTGTTCATGTTCGTATTTGTGCTCCCAGCCAGTACTTGAACTCAAGGCCTCGTGCTCTGCATGGCCTTTTTGCTCAAGCTGGCATCTGTTGTTGAGCCCATAGCTTAATTTCTGGCATTTTGCTGGTTAATTGGAGTCTCATAGACTTTTTTTTCCCCCGAGCTGGCTTCAAATCATGATTCTCTGCTCAGCCTCTGAAGCTAGGATTACAGGCATGCATTCCCAGCACCTGGAGAAAACGCCTATGTTTAAAACTATGTCACTATGAATGCCATGATGAAATCTCACATTGTCTCACATCTCTCCCGGGATGTAAATCCTCACCCCGTGTTATGTTCATGATTCTCCTGTTGGTCCCTGAATTCTTGTCTCAGATATTAGATCCACTGTCATATTAGTGAAGTGCTTGCATTCAAGTCGCCTTTGTTTTTATTTAATGGCCCCAGAGTCCACAAGTGATGCTAGCAATTCAGAGATGCCAAAGAGAAGCCACAAGTGCTTCCTTTAAGTCTCATCTCTCATCACAGAAAGATTAGTGAGTAGGGTATAATAAGATACTTGTAATACCACCTCCCTGTAACTTCTATTAGTGTATGGTTATAGTCATTATTAATCTCCTACAGCATCTACTATATAAACTAAATTTTATTATGCTATGTTATAGTGTATGTGGAATTTGGTACTCAACGTTTTAGAAACATATTTCTTGCAGATTAGGGGTAAAGGTGCTTATTTCTCCTGATTGAGTTTAAGAAAGAAACGGTGGATAGCATTTACTCCATAAACTGTGGGCACATGTCCTCAACCACATTTAACAGTGATACCCTGTCTCACTAGTATTAGGGGAGATGTGATTGGTCACGATGCAAAATAATTCAGTCTAGTACTTAGACTACAAAAGTATAGAACCAGAGGTACTGCTTTCTGAGAAGACAGTGATGTTATCCTTGAGAAGCAAGTGCCTTATAACTTTATCTTAGCCATTTAGCTGGGCAATCATATTATAAATTGTTTGAAACCAGTGGCATCATAAGATTTCAAGCCTGATTCCTTTGTAATTCCAGTCTGTGTAAGAGAAAAGAAACCTAAATGAGCAGATTTCCCCAACCCCAGGCACACTGTGTGGTCATAGTATAACGTTGTTCCCTTTTCTTTTTACAGGCTTTTTAGATCCTGAGAAGAAGCTTTTTTCTCACCGAATATTGTCAAGGGATGAATGTATTGACCCATTTTCTAAAACAGGAAACCTTAAGTATGTACCTGGTTACATTTATTGCTGAGGTAGATTATTATTTACTTCTACTTTAAAAATCAAATTTTGAGGATGAAAGTAATAATTCTGTACTTACCATTTTGCAGGAATTTTCAGTGTTAACTATGGGTATTTAGAAAGTGTGTTTTTAATCCTCCCTCCCTCCTCGTTTGGTGGGTCGTGCCTAGCGACTTGAGCTCTGGGGTGCCCAGTTCCCATTTGCTGTCCACAACCAACCCCCTCCTCTCAGCTGGGCTACACGGCCTCTGAATCATTCTTCAACAGGTCTTTGTTTTGGCTAAGGATGATACACAGTAGTTCTCCTCCTCTATGCTTTGTATGGACAGCACATTCTTGATGCGAACTAGCATTGCCTGTGCGTTGTGTACCCTTGGGTCTCCTGCACTGGGAGACGTAGGTGATGAGGCCTTAGATTTCATAGTTGTTCAGTGACCTATGTGCACCTCGGGGTACACAAGCAGGAAGTGTACTGGAATCCCCCACGGTGGGCTAGTTCCAAAGCCTGTCCCTTTTTCCTCTTGGTGCTCCTGTAGTAGCTGAGAGAGCCACGGAGTTGATCCTTGGGACAGAGCAGCCTAGGGAAGAGATAGTACAGAGAAAGCTTGGCCTGGTGATGGCGACTGCCTGGAACTCTGCAGCTTGAGTCAAGAATATAAAGAGCAAGTACATCTCATCCATAGGTTAAGAGCATGCACGACATTTATCCTACTAATCAATCGTGAAGTCCTGAGTTAAATGACCGTATCACCCATGTTTTTGCCTGTTTGGATTCTTCCTTTCCATCAGTTCTCTACTCCCTTGTACCATCTGTAAGTTTTGCTCCTCCCCACTCCTATTTGAAGGACAGTTTTATATCTTATGGAATTTCTCACTTTCTACCAGAAGGGCTGTGCTCACATGCCATCGTGCTGTGTCCTCTGCAGCACGTCCCCTGCAAGACCTGCTCCACAGCCGTCCACGACAGGGCAGTTAGCTCAGGCGGGCGCCCTCCACTGGAGTTTTCCTTGTTTAGGTTAGAGGCCCACAGAGAATTCCTTTTATGCCAGTTAGCGTTAGAGCAACAGATTGGTAAGGGCAAAAGAAAGAAGATGTAGCTGAGAATTGTACAGGAATTCTTAGACAAGCACATGAGGTTCGAGGGCAGTGGTGTACACAGATGCAGCTGAAGATCTGCTTGGAACGTGCAGCTAGATGTCTATTGCTGGCCTTTGGGCCATGTTTCTAAACTAACTTTGCCTTGAGCTGAGTTTTCACAAGATTGAGTTCTGACCCTGTAGGAATGTATGCTGATTCTTTTGTGTGCTGGTACAGCTGGTAAGCAAACTCAGGACTTCAGTGCTTACTAGTCAAGCTGTCTTTCACTGAGCTACATCCCTAGCTGCTTGCTTTTTTTTTTCTTTTTTTTTTTTAAGAGAACCACAAACAATGGAGAAAAATATTACTATGCTAATGTTTCTTTAGAGACAAGGAGCTTTGATATGAGCTAAGTAAAAGCCGTCCAATGGCATCTTTCTGTACAGATGAGGGTTGCAAACTCTTCTGCTTGGCAGGATAAAAAGATATTATTGACACCTGTGATGTAGCCTTTTGTGTAAATTACGTTTTTACTTGTAGAAATCTCTTTCCTTGTGGAGACTCAATGGTTTGCATTATTGATGACCGAGAAGATGTCTGGAAGTTTGCCCCCAACCTGATCACTGTGAAGAAGTATGTGTACTTCCCAGGCACAGGTGATGTGAACGCACCTCCTGGGTCCCGGGAACCTCAGGCAAGAAAGAAAGGTGAGCCATCTGTGCAGTGCTGCAGAGAGAAGCAGTGAGCTTTCTACTCCAATAGCTGGCTCTTCATTACTCATCCCAGTGTTTGCTGCCATAAATTGAAGATTCACATTGTGTTTGTTGGCTTTTGTGTTCCAGTTTTAGAGGTTGTTGGGCTCATGTGATATTAAAAAACAGGATGTTTAAAAATCACACTTAAACATTTTGCTTTTTAAGAATACAGGTCGAGTATGCATTTCATCCATTTATCTTAAAAAATGCATCCCAGGAAACTAGGACATTCGCCTGAGAGTGAGGTGTGGGATTTGGTGGCTCCCCTATGAGAACCAGCCCTAGGGGCTGGGAAGGCAGCTCAGTGGTAGAGCACTTGCCTTGTATGCATGAGGCCCTCGGTTCCATTCCTCAGCACCACACAAGCAGAAAAAAGCCAGAAGTGGCGCTGTGGCTCAGGTGGTAGGGCGCTAGCCGCGAGCTGAAGAGCTGAGGGACAGCGCCCAGGCCCAGAGTTCAGGCCCCACAACTGACCAGAAAGAGAGAAAAAAAAAGAACTAGCCCTAGAACTTGAGGATTCTGTGGGTACATCCTGCGAAGAACTGTGTCTATATCATACAAGCGTGAGCCAAAGTCTGTCTTCAGTAAATTTAAAAGCTTTGGTTTCAACTGTTTCTGATGATACTTAGTTTTTCATTTTGTGTTTTGGCAGTACTGGGTTTGAACTTGGGACCTTATGTTTACTTAGCCTTTTTGTTCAGCTGGCACTCTACCACTTAACCCATGCCTCTGCCCAGCTTCCTGCTTGTTAATTGAAGATGGAGTCTCAGACTTTTCTGCCTGGGCTGGCTTTGAATTTGAACATCTGGATCTCAACTTACTGGGTGGCTGAGGATTATAGATGTTAGCTACTGATGCCCAACTTGATCATTAGTTATTTTTTTAAAAAAGCCATTTGAGCCATATAATTACCACTGTGGTAACTAAAATAGAGCGTGGAGGTGAGGAGCCTTCTTGGGGCGGGTGCATGGTGAGAACACAGTGGAGGGGCCTTGTGTTGTCAGGCTAGAAGCCCTGCCAGCATCGCTTCCACACATGGCCACAAACCTTGTGACTCTGGTGGCAGCGCGCTGAGGCCTGAAGGTTGGGGAGCGCTGCTTTGGTTTTGAAAGGTACTCAACGTCCAGTAACAGTGGCTTTTCCTCTTGTGTATATTTAGTAAGTTCTAAAAGTGCTGACGCCTTGGAAGAAGCACCCCCTGTGAAAGGCTCTGAGGAAGGCAGACCCGCTCCTGGGGCAGAGCAGAGCAATGGCCTTGGGAAGCCCTTACCCGCTCCTGGGGCAGAGCAAAGCAATGGCCTTGGGAAGCCCCCACGGGAACTCAGTGGTGGCGAGTCTGTGCCAGGGACTTCTCCCAGTAAAGCAGGTGAGAGGGATCCCTGTCCCCTCACCCCGGCCCCCGCTGCCAGCAGCCCAGGTCGCCAGGAACTGGCAGATGCTCCAGAGCTCCCAGTGTCTGCTGAACAGACAGACCGGACCTCACCAGGAGTACAGCCTGCTCAGGGCGCATCTGGCCCAGACTTGGATTTTGACTTGTCTAGTGACAGTGATAGCAGTGATTCAGAAGGTCAGAAATCTTCTTCCTCTGATGGGGAAAGTGAGAAGAGAAGCCAAAAAAAGTCCTCAGTCACCCAAGATGGAGTGAGAGTACCACAGCAAGGAGTTTCCCCTGGTGAAAGGGGGGCGAGACCTCCAGGCACAGGGTCCCTGGCAGAGACTGGGCCCAGCGCCCACCTGCATGACAAGGGGCCAGACCTGGACATGCAGGAGGAGGCTGAGCGGGACGGCCTCTGTGGCCTCGGAAATGGCTGTGTGGACCGGAAGGAGGCCGAGACTGAGTCTCAGAACAGTGAGCAGTCAGGGGTCACTGCGGGTGAGTCCCTGGACCAGAGCATGGGAGAGGAGGAGGAGGAGGACACAGATGAGGACGACCACTTGGTCCACTTGGAGGAGATCCTGGTGCGAGTCCATACTGACTACTACACAAAGTATGACAGGTACCTCCGCAGGGAGCTGGAGGAGGCTCCAGATATACGCAAGATTGTGCCAGAGCTCAGGGGCAAGGTGCTGGCCGACGTGGCTGTAATATTCAGTGGCATGCACCCAACGGACTTCCCAATTGAAAAGACCCGGGAGCACTACCACGCCACATCTCTGGGAGCCAGGGTCCTCACCCAGCTGGTACTGAGCCCCGACGCCCCTGACAGGGCCACCCACCTCATCGCAGCACGGGCTGGTGAGTGCGCCCCTCAAGTGCCCTCAAGGGGGGGACCCAGCAGTGTGCCCAGGGTGGGCACGGGCCTGCTGAGCTGGATCCTAATCCCGCTCTGAGGTTAGTCAGCACTGCTCTTCAGTTTCATGATGGATTTTCAGAAATGTTTTTCTGGACCTTTCTAAGAACAGGTTTATAAGTGTCTTTTAGTGGAATCTCTGCCTACGCACACTGTATGTGTGCATATTCTGCTTCCATTTGTTGTCTGGGGTTCTTGAACAGTCACCTTTGTATGCGGCTTATAAAGCCAGCCATCTCAAGAGTAGAGGCCAGACTTGCTGGGGATGGAGACTCTGTGGCAGGGTTCCTGTGGGAAGATCAGGAGGCCAGAGGAGTCAGGACCTCAAGTGAAAGCCTAACCCTTTGAGTTAGAAAACCAAGTACAAGATGTCAACTGTAACAAACAGAATAACAGATTATTGTAGGTGGGCATATCTGTCATCTCCACAGAGTAGCAGCCTCCTCGGGTAGCACCTCTGTCGTTTCTGATAATTCAGCCAGAACTCTCCTATTCTGGGCAGGTAGTGGACAAATCTTGGAAGAATGCTGAAAAGCTAATACCTAATTTTTTAATGTGCCTCAGAAGCAGTTTGACTTTTCCCAAATAAAGATCACTCAGACTAGTCTAGGTGCTGCTGTCCTGTTGCAGTTTCTCCTGTGACCACATTCAGTGAATCATGAATTCACCCTGACTTAGATTTCTGTTGTTAGCTGAGCCCCAAGAAGCTTGGTTCCAGACCCTGTCACATGCTTAGTGGAGCATTTAACAGACAGCCATGGAAGGCTCCCACTGGAGTATGTGCACTAGAGTAAGAGGCTACTCTCTGGGCCATGAGCAGGTGAGGCCCCTTCTGGGGTTACTTGTCAGGTATAAGCATGTTGTCCAGGACCGCCCAGTGCTAGATCTAAATCTCTCCCTTGCCTGCTTCAGAAACTGTTACGGGCAAGAGCTGCACTCACTACTTAGATCATCATGCGGTGGGAAGGATAAATTGTCCTTACCTTGCTGCTGAGGCTTTGCGTTTGGAGGGAGTGACTCCTGAGGACATCATTGACGGGGATGAGCCTGGCCACCTCAGAGCATGAGTTCCCTATGCAGTGTCTATGGTTTAACTCCAAGACTCTAGCACAGGGCAAGCGTCAGCTGGAGTCCACTGAGTAGTCGCCTGACAGAGGGGTGGGCATGCGCCCTCGAGTGTGCTCGAAAGGCTGAAAGTGGAGCTGTGCCAGTCAGAGGCTGGATCTCTCAAGGCTGAAGACAGTGCTGCTCAAGTGCAGACACAGGACCAGGAAGCCCCAAGTCCTGTAGGAGATAGCAGCTCAAGATGGGGCAGTGTCAGTGGGACTGGAAAAGCCCAAATACAAGTCAGCTTAGGGAACACTGACAGGACCCAGTGACAGAGGTGGGTCTCAGATTCCAGACAGGAGAGGGTTCTGGAGTATCTAGAAAGGTAACTGGAGGTACTGGCACGTTTAGGGCCAGAAATCCTGCTGGTGAGCCTCCATCCCCAATGATGGAGAGGTCTGTGAGGTTAGCCTCACCGGCTTTGTCCTGTGGGGCAGGGCCAGCCCTTTACTAGGGTATTTGTACCAGTGTGTCTGTCCTGGACACTTGTGCCCGGGTGCTGCAGGTCAGCCTGGCTTGTGGTCTCCACAGGCACGGAGAAGGTGCGCCAGGCACAGGAGTGCCAGCACTTGCACGTGGTCAACCCCGACTGGCTGTGGAGCTGCCTGGAGCGCTGGGACAAAGTGGAGGAGCAGCTCTTCCCACTCACGGATGATGACACCCGGCCACACAGGTAGGCACCTTCTGTCCACAGACATGCCGAGGGGTGCAGGCCTATGTCAGGGCCTCGCCTCCCCAGGTGGTTCCCTGGCATCTTGTGTGAGGATGGGTACTCCTGGAGCTTAGGCGGGGCTGTCAGCTCTATCACAGCCCTGGCTCCCAAATAGGAAAAAGCTCAAGTTCAGTGGGAGGAGCCTCATCATTGGCCATCCGGCCTTCTTCCCTTTCCACAGCGAAGAGACCCTGGAACTCCTGTGGGATCAAAGATAAGCACCTAGAAAGCCTGTATATAAGTAACTGTTCATACCCAGAGAGCTGCTTTTTCTTTAAATGCCCTGTGATTCTACTTTTGGTAGTTAATCTTTTGCATATTTATGGGAAGATCTGTGTGTAACACACACAGGAGCTCAGCTTTGGTGGTTGTCAAAAGTCTGGGTGTTGTGTCTAGGGTTCAGCGTGTGGTGTCAACAACTGAGGCCATTGGGGCAGTAGAACCCCAGACCCAGGGAGACCAGCCCCAGTCTGCACAGTAGACCGCACTAGTAGTGGAGGAACTCTCACATCTCTGTGGTGTGTATGTGTGTTGCCCTTGCACATTGTTATGTTCTGGAACTAAGATTGCAGCGTGTCTTCCTCCTGAGGGTGCTTCTGACTCGCTCTGAGCAGCGGTCACTCGTCGTCCTTGTGAAGATGTCTCTTTTTGTTAGCCACACCCCTCTGTTGTCGTGCCCATCCATCTTTCATCCCATCCCGTGTCCCTGTGGCCCTGTGTCTCTGTCTTGCCACTTACCACCCTCTCTTCCTCTCTCCTTATCTGACAGGGAGAAAAGCCCTGCTACCTTCCCTGACAGGCAGAACATGCTTCCAGCGGCCTTGTTCCACCCGACACCTGTCCACCCCAAGGTCCAGCCTGGCCCTGAGGTTCGGATCTATGACTCCCACACGGGCAAGCTGATCAGGACAGGCGCCCAGGGCCGTGCGCCCATGCCTCCCAGTGGTCTGTCCGTCCATGGGGACCCCTCCTCCTTCAGGTATGTTACGTAGCACATTAGAGCTCTCCTTGCTGATGAGACAGGTGTCTGAAGGGTTAAGCTTTGGTCGTGTGGTCCTATTAAAGTGGCTGTGTTGGCCTACAGTGTAGATGAGTGATGTTCAGGAGTGTTTAGCCCTCGCTGTGTGTTGGCTACCTGATACTCTGGAGTCTGTGTTATTCTTCTGTCTCACCTTGGCTTCCAAAAGTAAAAGCAGAGCAACCCTTGATTTAGCCTCCTTAGTTTCCTGCACAGCCCCACTCCTCCTCAGGAGGCTCCTTGATGTCTGGGTCAGCGGGAGACCATCTGAGCTGTCCAGCAGGGACTGGAAGGCTCTCCAGGCTGCCAGATCTGGACTTCACAGGCGTATCCTGAGCTGCCTGCCCCTTTCCCATGGGTTCAGTAGACACAGAAGGCGGCAGGAGACTCAGTGTGGCTGTGAGCTAGCCACTCAGTTTCCATTGTAGTGAATTGCTTTTTGTGTACTTCTTACCCTTTTTTTTTTTTTTTTTAACCCTTCTCTCTTCCTAGTGTTCTACCACTGGGTCACATTTCCACCCGTGTTTCACTGGTTACTTTTAGGATAGGGTCTTCCTGCCTGCGTAGTGATCCTCTGACTTTAACTTTCCCATAGTTGCTGGGATAAGAGAGTCAGGGCACCAGGTGGAACTTCTCTCGTGGACTTTTGTGCCTGGGCCAGCCTAGAACAGTTCCCTCGATCTACTCAAGTACGTAGGAGTATAGGTTTAAGCCACCTACACATAGCTTAACAGAAGATTTTAAACTTTTGCCATAGTCTGTAGCCAGGTGCTGGTGGCTCATACCTGTAATTCCAGCCACTCAGGAGGCTAAGATCTGAGGATTATAGTTTGACTCCAACCCAGGAAGGAAGATCTATGAAACTCTTTGTCTCCAATTAATCATCATCAAAAAAGCCAGACAGGGAGCTGTAACTCAGGTACTGGAGCACTAACCTTGAGCAGAAAGCAGCTCAGGGACAGCACCCAGGCCCAGAGTTCAGGCCACAGGATGGCACACACGCGTGCACTAGTGAGCACACACATAAAAAGCCATGTGGTTTCAGCTCAAAAACAGGCATGGCATTGGCCAAGAAAAACACATGCATAGGATCTGTGTTCCTCCTTTCATGGGATGCAGAGGCGCTGAGACAGCAGACAGGCAGGTGTGGTCCTGGGAGCCAGCAGGAGGCCTGGCGCTAGGAACCTGTACCTTTAGGCTTTACTAAGAGTGCCCGCCCTTTGATCTGGTCCTAGTTTGAGAATCATGTCCTGGAAAAGATAGTGCTAACAACCTAGGGTTTGGGGCCAGGAAGGGCCTGTGAGGCTTTTGGTGTGGTGGACTAGCTGTTACTTTCTTGCTGAAAATAACCATAAAAGTTAAGGGAACACTCAAGAAGCTTTGTGGAGCCAGCCAAGCTATGGTAAGTAGCTGTAAAGACCCAGGGGGATTGACTGTTTAAACCCAGAGAGCAGGTGACTGCTCAGTTGGGGTCTTAAGTTGTGTGTGCTTCCGGGTACTGGGGAGCAGCATCAGGAGCAGCTGTGGAGGGGCTGGATACCACAGTAATGCTAATCAACATGGCCATTGAGGCAGAGGGTGAGTAAAATAGCTCACAATGGAAAGTTTAAAACAGGACTCAAGAAAGGAGCTCAGTGCTGGGGTCTCGGTCCCTGTGGAGTTGAGGTACCCTCTTCCAGAACACTAGGGACCCTGTGGGTTTAGTAGAGGTCCTGTTATGTGGGCGTGGCAGCTGCATCCCAGCCAACTTCACTTCCTGGAGGTCAGGTTGGGGCTGGAGGCTCTCGGCCTTCATCTCTTGGCCAGCCCCACCTTGAAGCATTCTCTTACATTGGAGGTTTCCTGATGGCAGTCCTCATGTCAGGAGCTGCGACCACCAGACTTGTGCCTCTCAGGGGTCAAGTGGTTCAGGTTTGTGTTGTCGACTGTGTTCTACAGTATCATAACCCGATGAGTAGAAGGTGAGGCCAGAAAGAACTTGGTCCTAAGCTGTAGTTTTACAGTAGGAGTCGAAGTCGGTGTGTCGTATGTGCAAAAGCAGACCTGTTCAGAGTCTGTTCTCTGTGCTGCAGAAACCAGCTCACAAAAGCATCGTCATAAGCTATTGACTAGCCAAATGTTAGGTGCACATTTTTTTTTCAATTTTTTAGCCTGCCAAGATACAAAATGAGAAGCAGGTCTGAAAGCAGTTTGCGTGTGACAGGCTGAGTGAATGGGTAATAACGGAAGCAGGGGACTCTGAAATACACAGCCGCAGCGTGGACTCAACCATGCTGTGCTGTGTGACACACCAGCTACAGCTCATCCTCAGTCACAAGGTGCTCGTTTCCTTAGTTACTTAGGTACACAAGAGGACAGTAATATCCTGCTGTAGGACTGCATATATTTTGTAATGGAAAGTAGCACTGTGTGTGTTCTCACATCTCATCCCAGGAGTTGGAGGCCAGGCTCAGTTGGTAGAACACTGGCCAATGACAGAAAGCATCAAATGTTGAGTTAGCGTTCCAGCCGTGGCCCAAAAGGGAAAAAAAAAAAAAAAAAAAACGGTAACATCTGGTCCCAGAGATTATCCTGCAGGCTTCCAGATAACATTTTGTTCATACTGAACCATACCGTTACTCTCCTACTTGAATGCATGGGAAGGTGTAAGCGTGCCTGAATCAATGGGAGTGGGATTGCCCTCTGGGATTCGGGGTGAGAGGCGCCTGCAATGGCAGGCCAGCAAAGACGAAGGGCACCTGGAGAGGCCCCAGTAGCTACTCTGCAAGCCACTCCGCATTCTTGGTACAGAGCGACCTTCCGCCAAGCCAGGTGTCCTTGGTGAGGGTGCGGCCCCCATCCTGCCCTCCTTCAGCAGCTTGAGTACCGCCCCACCTCAGAGGCCCGTGCCTGCTGCGATCGACACTGGCCCTCCACTCCATTCTGTGTTCTGTGCCTGGAACCCTGCATAGACCTATTATTATGACAGCTGCTTGTGTTCTAGGCAGTAACCACTGCCCTCCATGCGCATTCTCAACTAAGCTGAGAAGCTGTAAGTCTTCTGGGGTCTCTTCCTAGTCTACACACCTCACACTCTGTTGATCTTCTTGGGGAGGGCTGCTGAAGTCCAGTTCCCTTCATCTCCCTTTAGCTGAGGCCCCTTCATTTGTCATGTGTTTTGCCCATGTGAGGGTCCAGGTTGATGGTTCTTTCATGTTAGCAATTGAGAAGTGTCCAGTCTTCCTTCCTCTGTGTGTTTCACGGACCGCCCTGGCAGAGGTAAAACAGTAACTTTCCTCTAACTGCTTCCGGGCTCTTCTTTGTCTACTCAGTTTGGTCGTGATGAGTCCTGTAGGTTTGGGGAGTCTGTCCTGTTTATGGTGCCTTCAGCTTCTTGGATCAGGTTTACATCTTTCCTTACTATCCCTACCATTGCTGTTGGGTTCTCCCTGCCTTTGGCATGACTGAATTTTTTGTGCTAAGGCTTGAACTTTGCTCGCTGTCCTTCCCATCCTTTATGTCTTGTGATTCTGATCAAAACTGGTCACTTTCCAAACATGTTGGGGTACCTGGGTCTTCTGTCTTCACTGAGTCTTTCTATTCTACGGCAGCATTTTGCAGCTAGCTCCCCACACAGCTGGTGCTGACACCGGAGTGGGGGAAGGGAGTAGGGTGTCCCTATCACTGGAGGCAGCTGTGAGGGTTCACATTGCTAACTCCTGACTCTCCACTGGATATCATCTGTGGGGCAGGGGGAAAGGCCCACGTGGTCAGACTCCCCGTCTCCCCCACCCCCACCCTGCCCCAGCTTTCCCTGAACACCATGTAAGAGGCTAACATTGGGTCTTTATAGGTGTTTGGTTGGAATGGAGCAGTTATTGTGTGAAAATCCTTAAATATTCATTATTTAAATACTCATTAGCCTCCTCTTCCCAAGCTTTTTGGCAGCAAGTGGGTTTGAACTCAAAGCCTGTGTTGGCTAGGCTTTTTTGAGAGTGATGGTGCCCAGTAGGTGGCGCTGCTCTGCCACGTGCATCCTGAACTCAGTTTTGACAAGGATAGGAATATGGAGTATAACTTTCAAGAAATTGGATTTCTGGGCTGGGAAGGTGGCTCAGTGGTAGAACACTTGCCTTGCATGCATGAGGCCCTGGGTTCGATTCCTCAGCACCACATAAGCAAAAAGAAAAGAGCCGGAAGTGGCGCTGTGGCTCAAGTGGTAGAGCGCTAGCCTTGAGCTGAAGAGCTGAGGGACAGCGCCCAGGCCCAGAGTCAGGCCCCACAACCGGACCCAAAAAATAAAAACAATTGGATTTCTGGGTAGAAAGTATTCCACTTGTCCTTAATAGATGATAGTTTGGTGACTCCTAATGTAGGTCCCTCTTAATTCTAGCTCTGGCTCAATACCCCGTCCTGCTCACAGTGAAGAGTTCTTTCTGCCTCCCTGCTGTGTCTGTCATGATTCAGTCTGAGGCCTGGCAGGCAGTCCAGCCCTCCTCTGTGCCGCCCCATCCTCACCCTCACCCACCGGGAAGGAGCCGGCTGCTCGGACAGTTGTCCGGTGGAAGACATGTGCCAGTTTCACAACATTTACCTTAATTGCTGGCACTTACAAGTAATGACTACAATATAGTCAATGAGATTTGACCTATCTCAGTGAAATGTGTATGAAGAGGAGAAAACAATTGCAAACAGAACTGAGATTTATTTTGAGTACTCTTGCTCACTGCTAATGCACTACCACTTTAGCCACCATGCCTCCAGTCTCTATTTTGCTGCTTAATTGGAAAGTGAGTCTCAGAATTTTCTGCCTGTGCTGACTTCAGACTTCAGCTCTCCAGGTCTCAGCCTCCTGTGTGGCTAGGATTGCAGGCATGAGCCACCAACCCTTGGCTCTTCACTGAGATTTTATGATAGGAAAGTTTGTGCAGCATAAGCTTGTTGATAATCTCAGGGGCAGCTTGAGCCGGTTTGGTTCTTGCTGACTGGCGATTTCATGAAGCTGTGCACACATGGTGCAGCATGTCTTTCCTCTTCTTTTGAGCAGATGGACTCCATTCCATTAGCATCCACTCAATGCACCATTTCATGTTCGGGTTCTACTTGTGCCCTAGATAAAAGTGTCACCTTTGTTTTGCTTTCTTTCATGCTATGGCTCTCCAGTCTTAATGATACTTCCAGATTGTCTAGGAAATGAATCCTCAGTATGCACTCGGGTCAAGGCAGATAGATACCCCACGGACAGTGTGTTTTGTTGAAAGGAGGTGAATGCCATCCTTCACAGGATAGAGGAGCTAGCCGGGGGTTGGGGAGGGGGATCCTATGGGTACAGTCAGTAGAACATTCATCTTTCTGTACATATATTCTCTGTGTGTGTTGCCAAGTGCTCGGATCAGAACTCTGATGATGCAGTCTACAAAGGTGCAATCAGACTGCTTTCCTCACACCGAACTGTGACATTCCTTTCAGAGCTATTCAGCCACTTCAGCAGCAGATGTTTGGTGAAGAGCTGCCCAGTGCTGGAGATGGGGAGCAGCCTGGCCCTGCTAGAAGAGAGCGACAGCCCAGTATGTCAGAGACGATGCCACTGTACACTCTTTGTAAGGAGGACTTAGAGAGTATGGATAAAGAGGTGAGCAAGCAAAGCACTGCACAGGACCAGGCTGTGGTGGGGGAGCACATCTGCAGAAGGGCTGACAGCTGGTGCACTAGCTAGTATGTGCAGTTGGAGCTGGGATTCTTGCCCATGTAGATAGGTAGGTCATGCGCCCATACCTATGACTTCCTGGGTTTTCTGTTAAAAGGAACCTTAGCATAAGTTAAATGATCGTCCTGTGTTTGGTAGCTATGGCTTGAGGCTACGGCTGAGTCCCCACAAAACCACCTTCTGGTCCCAGTGGAGCTGCTGCAGGCATTATCTGGTACCAGTGTAGAAATGCTGTTTCATTGGTGGAACAGAGGTGGTACCCACGGGGAAAATGACAGTTGTCATTTATATTCAGCTGTAGAATAGAATTTCAAACAGCGTATTCAGGATAGAATTGCATCACTTACTCGTAGTTCCTCACATCTCAGATGAGAGCTTGTCTTGTGATGGTGAAACCTTTTTTTCCAGGCATGCTGAATTTCCTGTTTGCCACTTTTCAGCCCTCTTAAACGTTAGCTTCCTTTGTTTCATGAAAGTGTTTTCTCTAAAATGTTTTCCTTAGAAAGGTACTATAGTGCATACTTGTAATTCCAGCTACTTCAGATGCAGAGAGGAAAGATCATGGTACAGCATAAACCTGGGTAAAAGTTAACAGGACCCCATTTCAACAAATAAGCTGGCGTGCAGTACATGTCTGTAGTCACATCTTTGCAGAAGCTGTAGGTAAAAGGACCATGGTCCAAGGCCAGCTATCAGCAGAAACAAAAAAACTGATGAAAAAAAAGAACTAAAGCAAAATAGGGATGGAGGTGTGGCTCAAGTGTTGCAATACCTACCTATCTAGCCCTGACTTCAAACCCTTAGCTTTCCCGTCCTCTCTGCCTTCAAACACAGGCAGCTGTATCTGGAAATAGCGTTCACTCTCCATGGGGTGCACCGGTCCCTCCGCCTGGCACCTCTGTCCAGATGCACTGCCAGCTCGTTTGGCGTGATTGGCCGCCGAGGGCCCGCAGTGCGGCCGTCCCCTTGGTCACATAGCAAGCACAGCATTGGTTCTGACCCACCCCTAGCAAAGGGGACTCGGGTTTTTATGGAAATGCCAAGCCTAAGTCACACAGCAAGTGTGAAGCATGGGGAAATCTATTCCTTTACTTTCAGAGATAAAAACTAGCAAGGAGCACCAAAAGGAGAAAGGTTCCATCCTTGGCTTCAGTGCACTCAGGCTGCCACAGGGTGGAGGAGTGCCGCTGGAGGCCTCGTGTACCGTGTTCCTCTGTGGTGTCCTTCGTTCCTGTGGGTGCTGGTCTCCACAGCAGGCCCGGCTTGCCCAAATGCAGACCAGGTATAGCCTCAGGGAAGTGCTCCTGCCATCGGAGTGCCACTGCAGGCTGACACAGGGCCCCTCCTCCCCCAGGTCGTCTTCCTGGGGCTTGTTTCAGGACAGGGTAGGGCAGGCACTGAGCACCTGACCTACATTCCGGAGGAAGCCGATAGACAGCACTCAGACACGAGTACAGGCCTTGGACCAGTTAGGGTCTGCCATCACAGAATCCACATCTCTTTCACGTTTGCATGCTCCTCTGTGTTCAGGCTAGCCACCTCTTCTGAGCCAGCCTCTGGCCCTCTGACAAGAACAGTGACCATCTGAGGCCACCCTGACTTGCGGGACCTCACGGTACCAAGCACCTCTGCAAATGAGCACCTCTCCAAATGAGCAGGATCAGCCTTAGTCCTTCAGCAGATCTTTTAGTGGAACACAGTTCAATCTACTCCATGTAGGGCTTGATTGAAATTTAGTGCCGTGTCTTCCTTTTTGCCAGAAACATGGCACATACACGTATACGTACATACCTGCCTGTTATCACCTTAAGTTTCTCTGGGAAAGATTCTCTCGGCCAGGCAGGGTGCCACAGGACTGTAATCCCAACTGCACAGGAGGCTGAGGTAGGAGGATCATGGTCTAAGATCAGACCAAGTCAAAGTAGGAGATTTTACCTGAAAAATAACTCAAGCCATGAAAGAAGGGGGTTGGAGGCATGCTCAGGTGGGAGAGTGCCAGCCAGTGAGTGAAGGCTTCAGGTACTGAGTTCAAGTCCCAGTCTCAGACAAAAAAGCATGGAGTCATTTCTCAAGTAGTAGAGCATCTTCCTAGCAAGCACAGACCTCAGACTCCATGTGCTTCTCAAAAAAGAAGGGCACTCTGCTTTCTATCATGGGTGGTTTTTAATTCTTCTGTTAAGTGTCTGTCTGGACTTTCCAGTACAGCCTATTAAGCATTTGGTTTCTGGCCCAGACTTCCAGCCTGCACAGGGACATCTCTTAATTACAAGGTTATCTACCTCTGAGCCGGCCGAGTGGGCTGTGAATCTTCTCTGATAGGTGGGAAAGCGTTCCTCTCCACCTTTGTCTAGTATCGGCTCCTTGGGGGTTAGTTGACTTGGTAGAGCAGATGCAGGCCGAGGTAGGACTGGAGCCTATTGTCCAGCTCACCAGGAATTTCCTGGAACATGCATTTTCAGCGGCTGTTCCGAATCCTTGGAACGCCTCAGGGGTAGTTCCTCCATAATTAGTAGGAAAAAGTGCGTAAGCAGACCCCTGCCGCCTTCCTCCTAATGGCTTTCACTTTCCTTCCCAGCGGCACTGGCTGATGTGTTTTGTTCCAGCACTGTAGCCCCCTATTTCCCTTGTGCTGCTGGCCTCCTTTCTTTGCCATCTTTGTTCAGGCTGGGGGATAAGGAGTCTTGGAAGTGAGCTCTCCTTTTGTCATTCTCCCCAGATCTCACGAGCAAGGTCCCTGTCCTTGTCCCTGTTCTCACATTCCCAGCCTGACAGCTTTCTTACCCTCAGGCCCAGCTCCTCATGAAGGCGCCGGCATCATCTCATCTGAGCAGGAAAAGAGGTGCCGCCTCCGGACCTCCCAGAGTTCTGAAGGAGCCATTCACACCCACAGAATACTTAACATTGCCTAGAAAACTAACTGGCGAACACATACTGCAGAAATGTGAACAGTTGATTTTCATTAACGATTCACTCTTCTGCAGTGTGTGAATAATTAATGAAAGTCTTGTGCTTTTTATTTGGACTGCGTTTGAATTCTGCATTAACTATACATAGAAGTTGTCATTCTGATGACCTAGTCAAGAACCCTCAGGCCAGATCAGCCTGGAGAACAGTGCAAGGCCACCTTCAGGCTGGCTTTTTAAGCAGGATCAACGAGGTCGCACAGGCGTTGCCCCTGACCTCAACCCTTGGCATGGGTTGGACAGTGTAAGTGTTCTGCAGAGCTGTGAGTTCTGCAAACTTCGCCAGCCTGACAGACTTCTCACAAGCAGAGACGAGCTTCTGTTTATTCACCCAGGGGCAAGAATGGCCACCTTGGTTCTAATGGGCCCCCTGCTCAGTGCCATGTGCCACTCCAGGAACTCCCAGCTGCCCCCAGGATTCTGGAGGAGGGAGAGCAGTCTGGGCACAGCTGCAGCCAATCCCTTGTCTTCCTGGGGCGGAGTAGCAGGTCTTTCTGTGAAGCAAGATGCACTCCTCAAAACCCAGCCAGGGTACAGAAACAGGCACTGGGGACCCTGAATTTCTCCTGTGGTTTTTAACATACAGTGCAACAACTCTCATTACTCTAGCATAAGGTAACAGTTGGGGCTGGGGGCTAGTGTGCCCCTGTCCTGATAGGGCATGTCAGGGAAACCTGCAGAGCTGGAGGTAGGCTGCTGGCCCCACCCTGTCCCCCACACACCCTCACACCACCATCCAGGATAAAGAGTGGCTGCAGGCATCCTAGGTGTGGGCTCAGCTTTTCTCCTCTGGTCCTCAGCACATGCAGTGAGGGGCCAGCTTCCCATTGGGTCGCATTGAGTTTGACGTGCAACCACTGCAGTGTTGAATCCTAAGTCAAAGTGCGTGCAGGAGAGGAACTTCATATGAGAGCTGCCTGTATGTGTATTCTACATGGGGACACCAATGCTTGTCTCACCGCGGTGGTCCAGAGGCAGGCACAGCTGCCGAGGAGCGTCGCGCTGCCTGAGCACACCGGCAGATGAGCTGCTGAACGGTTCCTTCCTGTTCCTTCGCTGTCGCAGGTTGCTTGATGTTGTTCCCACGCTTGGGATATTTGTCAAACTCGCGAACACTGCCTCGCCCTGTGTGTGTGGAAACAGGACAGGAGTCCCCGCTGAAGAGGAGCAGCTGTCATCCATAACAAGGATGAGGGCCTCTGCCTTCTCCGTCTGTTCATGGTGCAGCTCCTCCTATCTGAGTCAAGAAGCCAGGACATGCGTTCTACATTAATTTATAGGCAGATTTTCTTTCCAGTGAATGATGAAGCGTCTTTGAGTTCCTTCAGCAGGTTCTCTGCTGGAAACCTCTACTTCAAGTATAGTTCCGCATCCATGCCTACCCAAGCACTCTCAGCCCTGGGCTTCGCAGCTTCCAGCAGCTGGGATGGAGGTCCTGTGCTGTTGTCAGCCCTGGCTGCTCTGTGTCCCGGTCCTAGCTGGAGGGGCTCCGCTGGCAGGCTGAGGCCCGTCCACACAGAGCAGTTTTTCAGGGTGATTCTTACCTGCTAGCTGCCCCAATGCTGTTGGCTCCCAGTACAAAGTGTTTGTTGTGTGAGCCTGGCGGGTGGCAGCCTGTGAGCACCGGCTCAGTGCCCTGGGCAGGCACAGAAGTTCCAAAAGAGAATCTCTTAAAATAGGTGACTTTTTTCAGAGTTATCTAAGTCTAAACAAGTCTTAATCAGGATCATCTATGGCTGGCTTCTGTCCCATGCACGCAGGAGCACACAGAAGGGGGTGATGGGTAGAGGTAGAGGTAGAGGTAGAGGTAGCGGCAGCAGGGCCACCTTTCCTTGGGTGTCTCAGTCACATGCCATGTCTTCATTGTCAGTCACTAGTTTCACTGATGGCCCCCTCTCCCAGGGTATAAATAAGGTTGGCTTTTTTGGTGCTATCCTTGGGCTCTTGATCTACTACTTAACC